AATGACATACCCGGAGAAGAAGTCACTCTGAATAAAATACCTGTCTCGAGAACACACAGATAATGTCATCAGTGATGGAGTCTCTGTTTATGTTCAAAAGAGAGCTGGCATCGTAAACGATCTACAGAGAAGCAGAACAAATGTCAGTCTGTACAGAAAAACAGACGAATAAAGGCTAAAAGTTTCTAAAGAGACTGTGGTGCTGCGTTGGTGGGGGTAACAAGGTAATTTGGTTATATCAACTAAGTTGAAATTGTAAATTGGCCACCGTAACGAATAAAAAAGCTGACGTTTCGAGCGTTAGCCCTTCGTCAGAGCGAATGGAGGAATTGTGGATTATATGTGGGTTTATATGCAAAAAGCAGACCTACGCCATTGGTGGGAACATGGCGACGAGAAAAACACGAATAAATTAGTGGAATGAAAAGCGTACAGAAAAACGTTGCGTTTAGTACGTCGCTGTCTCAGAAGACCCTTCCATAACAGGTGCCCAATCAGAAAAGAGTGAGATGACACTGCTTCGGTTTGACGACAATCTAACCCTGTAATGTTTAAAAGGAGGGAAGAAGTAACCTCTTTCCAAGGACCTCTCTCCTTCCCCTCCCCCCAACCCGTTTTCCCTCTGCACTGAAGCGAGAAGGAGAGAGAGTAGAGGTAAGAAAAGGAGAGAAAAGAACCTGGAAACGAGATTGACAGTAACAGGCTTCGACTCACGTTTCCATTGTAGTGCGATACTCCAAAACACGAACTTTCGGAATCTGGATCGAAAAAACTGAAACGAAGGAAACATCTCAGAAAGTACAAAGTTTCTGATTGACTATTCCCCTACCGGTTTGGAATCTGACCACCTTCCGTATCGAACTATACAAACACATTATATAATTTTGATCCTCTCCTTTAAATTCTGTCCAAAATACAGTTCTCCATCATTCAAAGTTGCTATTGAACATCAATTAACCTTTTTAAACTTACCAATTGCTGTCTTTATGCTGTCCCTTAACTTTTTGTAAGAAATTCTGGTAGCTTCCTCTGTAAGAAATATTTAGCCTTGTTGATACTTTCACAACATTATCATTTCACGTACAATCTTCGCTGTAAATCCATAACTTTCAGAACAGTTCTTCATTGCGTTGGATTGATCATTAACAATTTTTCTTTTACCATTTATTACACATAGACAGTTTTAAAAAGAACCGTTGCTCATATATTGTTGATACATATACCTTTTTACTCGTTTTCCCAGCATGATAGAAACGCGTCACAGGTTTTCCCGCCTTAGCACTAACAGTTGGAAGGATTAATTTTTTTTGTTTTTTGGTTTTTTCATGAATTTTTTGTTGTTATTATACCTGTTTGAACAGGTTTCCACTGAGTGTCGAAAAACCAAATCCAAAGTAATCTTAGCTACCAATCAGAACAAGGGTTTACATCATAATTAGCCAATGAGAACTCAAAGCGCGGGAGAATTGCGAATGTACAAGTCACGATTGTTTTTAGTTTACCATCTAATTGGTTGAAGGAATTTTGTGAGTTTTCTGGACCAATCACAGAGCGAAGTTAAGTAAAACCAAAGGAATCCTAAATGTTTTTAATAACCAACTGAAAATTACTCTATACGTGTACGAATAAGAAAAGTGGAAAAGACAACGATTCTGACAGAATGCAACAAAGCTAGACCTGCACTATTTACGGAAAGATTTTTCCAAAAAAACAGGGGTTGCAAAACGTGATCACGCCTTACCTTGCGAATAGGCTTTCTTTATCCAACATTGTCAAAATTCCAGCACGCTATAATAAAGAATCACAAGAAATCAAAACCTAACAACTTTAAAGTCTACCTACTATGGCAAGTTGTAATCATAACAGTTCTGCATATTAGATATTAAGAATTTTTTGATAGCGCGATTAACAGCTTATAGGGTGGCTTTCACTAAAGTACACTGTACATGACTACTGCTAAACAGAACAAAGG